GGCTAATTCCGTGTTTGGCGAAAGCTGCCGAAACGGGATGTCGTTTGGATTTACAAGACGTTTTGGAACGCTTTGCGTTTGACAATGTTTGTAAATTGGCTTTTAACGTCGACCCGGTTTGTCTTGGCGATGGCGATGGAGAAACGGCTTCCGGTTCCGATGAGTTCATGAAGGCTTTTGACGACGCATCCACGCTTATCTGGGGGAGGTTCTTGTATGCTTTTGCGTTTGTGTACAAGATTAAGAGGTTCTTCAACGTTGGATCAGAGCGAAGGTTAAAAGAATCAATCGCAACCGTTCATAACTTCGCGGACAATATCATAAGGTCCAGAATGGAAGTCGAAGAATTAGGAGATCATCAAGATTTATTGTCCCGGTTTATCGGGATTACTGAAGACAACAACTCGCCCGAGTTTCTCCGAGATATCATCATCAGCACCATTCTCGCCGGCCGAGACACCACATCTTCGGCTCTGACTTGGTTCTTTTGGCTCTTGTCGTCCAGGCCACGCGTCCAGCTAGCCATTTTAAAGGAGCTAGAAACGATTCGGATCCGAAACGGTAAAAGTATCGGCGATACGTATAGTTTCGACGAGCTCCGAGACATGCACTATTTGCACGCGGCGATTTCGGAGGCCATGAGGCTGTACCCTCCCGTACCGGTCGACACAAGGGCTTGCCTAAACGACGACGTCATGCCGGATGGGACGATTATTAGGAAGGGGTGGTTCGTGACGTACCACGCGTACGCCATGGGAAGGATGGAGGGGATATGGGGGAAGAACTACGGTGAGTATTTGCCTGAGAGGTGGCTCAAGGACGACGATGGCACGTGTCAGCTGGAGAGTGCGTTTCGGTTTCCGATATTTCATGCCGGACCGAGGATGTGTCTCGGAAAAGATCTGGCTTACATTCAGATGAAGTCGATTGCAGCGTCTGTGATGGAGAGGTTTGAGATCGACGTACCAAATAAAGACACGTGTCCTGAGCATCTGTTATCACTGACACTCAGGATAAAAGGTGGATTGCCAGTGAGGGTGCGCAGTAGAAATGCATTTTAATTAGATTTTCTTATTTTATCTTGGACAAAGGATTTTAATTTGCCATTTGTGTAATTAAAATCAAAGTATATTGTCACTAGTTGTGATGTGAGTCATATTTTATTGAATTGTATTTATTTACTAATATTGCATTGCAGCACCTAATAGAGACCACAACTCAGTACATAACCAAAAGAGTTTAAACGCTTGTCATACGAAATAAGGAAAACAAAAAATAAAAGACAAAAGAGAGACGAGAAAAACAAATACAAATGGCAGTATATATAATTGCAGTCAAGTGCAAAGCGAACTTGTTTGTAATTTGTAAAATCTCTGCTCCATTGAAACTAAAAATGGACTACAGCATGATATATGCTATTTCATTTAGAACAATGGCTAAGCAACTTGATTAGAATGAACTCAGAGAGAGAACAAAAACGATTGGACTTCAAAAACTTTTTTTAGAAACATTAACAAGGATATACTATATATATATATACCTAAACGGTGTATGGCTGCACGGATATACTATTTATATATATATATTAAAAAAAGGAACAGTTCAGCGACTAGGCGCCACGTGTCATAATCAATAAAGCAACGCGGCTATACTATTTTTAAAAAAAATTAGAACAAAACCGGGTATAGCCGTGCGGCTATACTAAAAAAATCCCACTAATATATAAAGTGTATAGCCGTACGGCTATACTATTTTTAAAAACAATTTAGTAAAATCGAGTATAGCCGCAGTTTAAAAAAAAAAAAATAGAAAAATCCATTATAGCCGGGCGGCTATACTATTTATAAAAAAATTTAGAACCAAACAGAGGAAAAAAATCACCATAGAGTATAGTCGTGCTGCTATACTGTTTTAAAAACAATGTAGTTAGAAATGGAGTATAGCCGATCGGCTATACTATTTTTTAAAAAAAATAGAAAAAATAAAGTATAGCCGCGCGGCTCTACGTACAAGGGTTAATCATTAAAAGAGGTCATGGATCGATTCTTCAACATAGTGCATGCTCATGCTTTTTCTGCCTTGCTTTGACATTATCTAGGGATTTTGTGTCCAACTGGGACAAATTGACGCTCGAAGGGTGTTTAAAATCCCTAATCAGTGGTGCGTATCCAAAATTCAAGCTTGGATATGAAATTAAAAAAAAAAAATCAAACGAACGTGCAGCAGAAGGGACTGAAAAACAAAAAAGAAAAAAAAAGGGGGAAAACATTCTTCTCATGAAGGGTTCTCAGGATTTATGATGGAGAAGCAGGAGAAGAAATAGAGGAGTGAGGCTTACCACTGCCCTCGATGGTGCTTGTTCCAGCAGCTTGTCAGAAGCAAGGAAAAAGGAATTGTCTCGTAATCTTCTCTCCAAGTTGCTCCACGCTCTGCGAAGTGACCTTGCTAAACCTGACCTTTGACGAATTGAAGGAGAAGTTCGAGAGACTTAGGGTTTTTGAAGAGGAACGATGGCCCCTCCTAGCGGTTGCGAACGGTTTCTCTGTGCTTAACCAACTGGCAATTATGGAGGACGCCTCTTAGCGATTTCTTGTCTCAAAGGGTCTCCAAGCCTAGGTGTGATGAAGAATTAGCAAAATCAAGAGAAGAGAGTGGGAGGTCTGGGTCGCACGCACACGGAAGAAAGAAACCAAGGGCGAAAAGGGGAAAGGAAGAAGAAGAAATAAAAGGCGAATAAGACAGACTTAGATGAAAGTGCTTTCCTGGGGAACGTGAAAGACTGCTGGAAGACAATCATAGCAGCACACACACGCGGGAAACGAGAAGTTCATATCGCCTGACATGAATTTGACTTTTGGGCTGGGTTTGATTATTCGGCCCATCTCAAAATTTGCTCATGGCCCCAATAATGGGTTTGATTAGAATGAACTCAGAGAAAGAACAAAAACAATTGGACTTCAAAAACTATTTTTTAGAAATATTAACAGCACCAAGCATAGCCGTGCGGCTATACTATTTTTTTTATTTAAAAAAAAACCATGTATGGCCGACCGGCTATACTATTTATATATATTAAAAGAACCTGCTCAGTGACTAGGTGCCACATGTCAGAATCCGTACAGCCGTGCGGCTATACTATTCAGCTATGCTGAAAAAAAAATCCCACTCTATACATAAAGTGTATAGCCGGCTATACTATTTTTAAAAATAATTTAGTAAAAATTGAGTATCACCGCGCGGCTATACTTTAAAATTTTTAAAAAATCGAGTATAGCCGGTCGGCTGTACTATTTATTAAAAACAAAAACAAAACCGATTATAGCCGCTCGGCTATACTGAAAAAAGCCCACTATTTATATCGAGAGTATAGCCGGTCGGCTATACTATTTTAAAAAACAATTTAGTAAAAATCGAGTATAGCCGCTCGGCGCTAAGCTTTATAAAAAAACAAGGCAGGACCCACTCAGCAATTAGGCCCCTACGTGTCAAACGTAAGTATAGCCGCGCGGCTATACTATTTTTAATAAACATTAATAAAATCGAGTATAGCAGCCCGGCTATACGATTTTTATATATTTAAAAAAAGGACCCACTTATCGGCTAGGCGGCACTTGTCAAAAACAGTAAAGCCGGTCGGCTATACCATTTTTTGACAAATTAGGAAAAACCGAGTATAGCCGCTCGGCTATACAATTTTTATAATAAAAAAGAGTATAAAAAAGGGTATAAAAAAGGGTTAATGACCTACTCTTATTGATATACGCGACTAAACTACTCCAGAGTCTAATACAGTGTACCAAACGAGTCCTAATAGTAATAAATAATGCTCTAAACTACTCTTATTGATATACGCGACTATAGTTTTTAAATAAAATATAGGGTTATTCGCAGCAATGGTCCCTCAACTATACCCCAAGTTACACTTTGGTCACTCAATTCAATTATTAGTTGCAGAGGTCACTCAATTATGTGTTTTGTTGCACTGTTAGTCCTACCGTCAAGTTTGTTACTTTTTCTATTTAAAATGATGATGTGGCAAGTATCTCTTAGATTATTGATGGGCAAATGTGACTTTTCAGTTAAGATTATTTGTAGCAATGATCCCTCAACTATACTCGGAGTTACATTTTGGTCACTCAATTAGGTGTTGTGTTGCACCATTAGTCCCTACCGTTAGAGAGACTTGACGGTAGGACTAACGGTGCAACAAAACACCTAATTGAGTGACCTCTGCAACTAATAATTGAATTGAGTGACCAAATTGTAAATATGGGTATAGTTGAGGGACCATTGCTGCGAATAACCCTAAAATATATATATTTGAAGAGTATAACCGCCTGGCTATACTCTTTAAATATAGTAATCATATAATATAAGCTATTTACTAATTTTTCCAAACACATCATAAAAAGTAAAATGCAATCTACCAAAAACATACAGACTCATTATTTTATTTACAGCATAGGGAAAATAAATCGTAGATCATAGCGATTCAATATAGCCTACTTACTTATATAAAAAATAATCTTGGTGATTAAATGACCTCATGTATACAAGTAATAAGGTGAATTATGGCAGTTAACTAGACTAGTGCGCCAACCCCATTTAAACTACGAAACCAAAGTGAAAGTGATAAAATTAGCAAACTATAAGGACTAAAAATACTTTTTCCCCTAAGATTTTAGTTAGCAAAGGGGTATTTGTTGGTATAAGTTACGAAGTTAATACAGAATAAGTCAAAAGAATGCGACAATGAAAGATGAATGCAGCCAAAGACAAGAAACTCACTGCTCGATGGATGGCATTTGGCAGCTATGGCACCCTCACACACTCTCTCTCCCTTGTGGCCCTGAGAATATCTGAAAGACTCAGAATGAAACAGTAAACAGTAAACAGTAAACTAAACTCATATCGTAAGTTACGTTAGCAAACAAGTCAACAAGTCAAAGAGGTCAAATTCCAATCCCTCTCTGAAGACATCCCAAAGGCGCTCGCTCGCATGTACAAACACTCACCTCTCATCCTCTAGTTCAACGAACGATGCGGTGCGACGCTTCCTCTTGGCTCTGCGGGCGCCACGTATCCGTAACAACAGCCGCACCGATGAGAAGCGCCACCGGCCCATCCTCCTTCTTCCTCTGCAGCAAGCCTACTGTCTTTTGCTGCACCGACGCTCCTAAAGACTCATCGTCTACATGTTCCGACACTGCTCGTCCGTGGTACAACCCCCTCAAGCGGCGACAGTCAAGTCATGCTCCGGATGTTGTACGCCATTGGATCCAAACCGATAATCAACAACCACTGTCTTCTCAAGGTCCACATCATCCTTCTTCTAATTAACATTACTATACTAATTAGTAATATATGCATGCATCGTCTTTGTATTTATTTAATCATAGCATATATATATATTTGCAGACAGATTTACGGTTGCTTCGTATAACATTTTGGGGGATAGAAATGCTTTCGCGCATAGAGATATGTACCGCAACGTGCCTTCCCATTATCTCAAATGGGACCGTCGCAAGAGGGTCATATGCGATGAACTTGTCCAATGGAACCCTGATATAATCTGTTTGCAAGTACGTAAAGTAATAAGCATGACTAATTTGTTTGTTTTTATTGGCCTGTTAATTTTTAAATTTTTTTTTTTTTTGTGTGGTCTTACTAGGAAGTAGATAAGTATTTTGAGCTCTCGGAAATTCTAGCGGAAGTGGGATATCTTGGGTCGTATAAGGTTAGATTTTCCATATTATGTACCAATCTTGTCGATGAAATAAGAAATGTTTTCTGAATATGTTGTTTGCAATGGCAGAGACGCACTGGAGATACCGTTGATGGTTGCGCTATTTTCTGGAAGGCTGATAAGTAAGATGGTTGGTTGTGCTTTATTTTTCATTTTATCAATTGGTTTGTAGTGTTTGTGATGCCATGACAAATTGAATGGCCTTTCCACTTCATTATGTCAGTTTTCAGTTGTTAGAGGAACACAGCATTGAATTCAAGGGTTATGGACTTCGTGACAATGTTGCTCAACTCTCAGTTTTTGAGGTACAACTTGCAAGCATCTGCTAATAACTTGTTCTATACCTGTCACACTTCTGAGATTACTTCACTTCAGATTGAGTTAATCAACCCTGTTTTTATGTAATCTTCTGTTTAACAAGATCGTATCCATCGTTTCCACTTCTAATTTCATTCCATACAGGCAGATGCAGAAAGCCGAATCAAGAAGGTTCGTGATTGGTAACATCCACGTGCTTTATAACCCAAGCCGAGGGGAGGTAAAATTGGGCCAGGTAACTTCTTTTCATTGATGTCATTTTCCTTATGCTTAATGACTAGTGTTAGTAACGTAGTACTAAATAGAAGTTTGGCCACCTGAACAAAGACTTCAGGAAAAACATACAGATTTTTAACGTTTTGGGGCATTATGCTAATATGGTTTGTAATTGAATCATTTTGTTTCTTCAGATACGTTTTCTCATATCAAGGGCACAACTCCTCTCAGAGAGATGGGGCAATGCCCCCATTGTCCTTTGTGGTGACTTCAATAGCACTCCGCAGGTTTGATAACTTTCATCATCATTGTTTGCTCTGCTTTTTACAGTAACAAAGCTAAAGCTAAACTAGTTTCCTGCTTATTGACAGAGTGCAATATACAAGTTCTTGTCAACATCTGAGGTGAATTGCTTGCTTTTATGATGTTATCCACTTAATTAAAATATATTGGTGATGCAAATAATCAGAATAGATATATTACATGCATCCATGATGTTTTTTTGATATCCGTATGATTCTTTTTACAGCTGAATATCATGTTATATGACAGAAGAGAGTTATCTGGTCAGAGAGACTGTCATCCTGCTCAAGTTTTAGGAGTCAAACAAGAAATTAGCAGTCCACTTACACTGATAGACGGGTATTTCTCATATCTTTGAACGCAGAAACATATTTTCTATTTTGTTTTCATTTAGCTCCTAAACTGACGACGTGCATAACGAGCATCAATGAGAAATTTGGTTTGAATAAGATGACTGAGTTATATGTCTTATGTTGCCTTGAATGTTTTCATTTTCAGATTGTTGAAGCATTGCTGGACAGATGAAGAGGTTAGAGTTGCAACTGGAGATGCTGAGAGCAATTTAGTTGTGCATCCCCTGAAGCTTAACAGTTCCTATGCCACAGTGCGGGTACAAAATTTTACACCTTTACCACTTGGTTGTTCAATACTCCAGCTTTTAATATGCTGCTACATTATGTTCCTATTGTATGCATCAAGTTGGTTTGGGGTGTTATTCTAAGTACAACAAATCATACTTTCAGGGTTCAACTAGAACACGAGGATCCCATGGCGAACCTTTAGCGACTTCCTACCACTCAAAATTTCTTGGAACTGTTGACTACTTATGGTAAATTGCTTCTCTTGTAACAATAATTCTAATATTGGAGGAGGAGTTGGTTATGATGACAATGAAACGAATGAAATGCTTCTGTTTCATACAGGTACTCTGATGGCCTTGTGCCCACTGGAGTTATAGATACCGTTCCAGTTGACATTCTCCAGAGGATTGGTAGCCTCCCTTGCAAGGTAGGAAAAGACCTGGAACAAGGGTGAATAATTATGATTGTGGATAAGTGTATAATGTTATCTTCAAATCTAATATTCTGTTTCTATCTATCATGCTTGTACACAGAAAGTGGGCAGCGACCACTTGGCCTTAGTTTCTGAGTTTGCCTTCACACTGGACACAAATGGAGACAACAAAACAACTGCCTCAAGTATCTGAACAACCTTGTCCAAGCATTTAGAGAAGGAAACAATTTTTTTGTCACACCATGTATGTTTATCCCACATAAAATCTTTTGGAAGTAGATCCTCGGATCTTATATTTACTTCATTAAACAAACATGTTATAGCTTGAATAGCAAGTAAAAGGGAATATAAAGCACAGATTGTAACCCAGCTCAATATGTCATGGTTTTGCCTGCTGAAAAAATTATCTGTCCTTGTATTAAAAATCATTTTAAAACTAGTATAATTTTTTAATTGAAAGATTTTCATATTTTCATATTTTTATTACATAGAAGGTCTAAATTACTCTAAACTATAGGCTATCGGAATTTGGATGCAAAAGAGCATGTACACTATCATGTCCATAAGACCTAACCCAAATTTGCAAACATTTTATTAATTTACCTAAAAGTATTAAAGTTCTAATTTACATCATGACATATTATAAGGGATTTATTGCGTCAAGCTAGTTGTAGAGCACTTTCCCCTAAATAAAGATCAGGGTACTTGTACTTTCCTCCTTTTCCCTTTTAAGTATGAACTTCCTACATCCTAAACACAAAAATTGGTCTCCTCCTTTTTTTTTCCTATAAAAAAGAGAAGCTTTAAAGAGAGGGGCTCCTCCTTCTCTCTAAAATTTCTCTCTTCTCCACCACCGTCTTCTGACCAGCTGGTGGCTTTCCCACTGCCCTTTGGGCCTCTGGCCTTTGTATGTGTTTATATAATATGTGAGATTTTAAGGTATTTGGGTGAATTTGGGGTTGTGCATTTTTTCGTTTTGTGCCCATTAGGTGTGGCAGCTCATCCCTTCAACTTGTCCCGATGATGTCATCTCAGGTGTTGGTAGCAGTGGCTTGGTTGAGTTTTGTTAAGGGTTTGTTTGCTATCTTGGCCTTGGTTTGGGCTTGTGTGGGCTTATTGCCTTTTGGGCTTTAAGCTTGTTGTTGTTTCTTTTGCATTTTATTTGGGCCTCCGGTCTTTTTGCTTTGTTCCTGAGCTCAGTTGGTTGGGTCTCACTTTTATGTTATATTGGTATGCCCCTTTATGGGTTTCTAATGAAATCTACTTCCGACCAAAAAAGGAAGAATAGTAAAATAATTGTGTTTTTGAAAATTTTCTTAAATAAGGTAAATTTGTGTTATCTAAAAATTCAATCATAATACCAACCATCAAACCTTGGGGGTGGAATTGGGGTTGAGCTGCTCACTATGAGGTTTTGGGCTTGATTCCCACCAATAGGTTGGGGTGGGCAGGCCAATTCCTTGGAGATGAAAGTGTGTAAGTGTGTGGCATCGTGAGGGTGGCCCGAGGGTCGGGGATCCAGCTTGAGCTGGCCCTTGCGTTTGGCTCATGTAAGAGCAAGTCTAGCATTGCTGGTTTGCCCGGGCAGTAGGGGGCCTAGGCCCAGCTTTTGGCTCCAGCGCACAAAGGCAAGACCAGGCAGTTGATGGGGGCTACAAGCCTGGGCAGGCCCAAAGGCAAATCTTGCTTGGACTCTTGCCTAGGTTTGCTGACATCATTCTAAAAAAAATAGAAAAAAAAAACAAAAATTTTCAGAATTTTTTTATATATAAATACCTGTTCTTATTTTTCACTTCTCATGCCAAAAATAATGATTTAAGTATACAAAAATATAAAATAAATTAAAAATGAATACTAATTAGTAATTGCCCTTGCCCTAGCCTTTTGGGGTGGAACCAAAAAAAGCAAAGCTGTCACTATTCATGTGAATAGTTGCAGCTCTTGCCTTAGCCTTTTGGGGTGAAGTTGCTCTAAGAGGGGCGACCTTTCACAGCTCCTTGGTGGACATCACCCTCTCTACCGTAGAGTGTTTTTTGTTAAAAAAAAAAAAACCAATCATAATGTTCTTTTACTATATATAGATCGCATTATAATATAAGCCATTTAATTATATAATGTTTTCTAGATTAAAAGAAAATTGTAAAATTTGCCACTCATTCTAGTCGGCAAGATGTTAACTTGAACGAATGGGATCCGCCGCGTCACGTATTCCTGTGGCTGCACGGCAGCATAAGGTCATGTAGTCTCTAAATCCGCATGCGACACGTCATAAATCGTATCGGCCCTGGTCCATCTTCGAATCCAGTCCGTTCACTTCCTAATGGGCCCTACTAGTCGTGGTTCAGATAAAAATATGATATGACATATCCAGAAGCACGTGTACAACAAGCCCTGTATTTCGCATCCTTACGTGTACACGTGATCCACACTAAAAGACCAGAGAGCGACACGCATTTGAGGCACCCAATGAGGGCCCACCACGTGGATTTCCTTGGCTGCCTTCCCTCTACGGCAAGAATCGCCGTTCCTTATTGCCTTCCCCCTATTGCTGTCAATTTGAGTGTCCTAAAATATCGGAGCTCCCAAAATTTTCTCTCGATTTCCCTCGCTCTTCTCACGCCGATCCTAATTGCCGATCAGATTCGTTTCGATTTTAGTTTCGATTTTCGAATTTTCAGAATTATTTCTTTTTTTCTGTCGCAGAAATCTGATACAAATCAAATTTACTGATAATTATTATGAGATGATGCAACGGGTCGTTGACAACATCATTGCTGTCACCAAAGAGTGAGAGCCCCTTCTTCCTTCCTTTTCCCTTTTACAAAATTGATTGGAATTGGTTTAATTCCCATTATCTATACATATAAAAATTGATACTTTTTCATGTGTGAAAAAAAAATTTTCAAATTTTGGTGCTGGGTTTGAATTTTGGTTTGTATTGTTTCTGGAATCAAAGCGTTTGTTTGTGTTTGTTGATTGGTGTTTGGTAGTGCAGGTCAGTGAAGACGTTCACATACGAGTCGCTGAACAATATTGTGAGGCTGATTAATGGAGTTTCAGCTCTTTTATTGACATTTTTACCTGGGAAGGCTAACATCCTTGAAGGCATTCATGGCTGGGAGCTCAGGCCCACCTTTCGGGGACCTCGATTTCCGCGCTGGATGGAAAAGTAAGTTGTGTGTTTTGACCCCATCAAAATTTGCAAGCTCACTGAATAATTCAGATTTTTGAATTTGTCCCGTACTTGGCAATTCGTTTTGACATTGTGGGAATTGGGGGGTTATTCATGATAAATGAATGTTATGGTGTTCTTGTTTTCGTGGGCAGTAGTTATTTTGTATGTAAAATTAGTTCCTTTAATTTGATTGATATCTATCTTTCTTGTAAATTGTAGTGCAACCGACATATTACATATATATTAGTTGCTGAAATGACATGTCCATTTTGTTTGATGTTTGTAGTGGAGTGTCCTCTTTCAATCATTTCATACATGAGCTTTCTGTGGATTCTGATTCTGATGGCTCGAGCCTTGATTACCCATATGGAGATGAAGGTAGTAGTGATGGAGACACATCTCCTGGATCACCACTATCTCAAAGTTCAAGAGTCTCTCGGGCTTCTAGTTTCAGTAGGAACGACAGGCACTGGATGGGATGGATGTGGATCAGATACATATTTTTCTGGATTTTGCTTCCCGCAAGGTTTCTGCTTGGGATTCCAGTTCGTATTTTCCAATCGTCTTATTCTAGGTCGTCAAACGGCTCTTCTGCACCAGGAAGCAGTCAGGTCCTGCAAGCACGAGCTATTAATAAAATGCAGACTCTCAAGGATCACATTGTTCACCGAACCACTGATAGGAGACGTGGAGTCATTGAGGTTTCTGCATAAACTCTTTTTCATACCAGTTCGGGAATTACATGTATCATTTATTTTCTCTTAATATATTTTCTCATCTTCAATTTGTGTTCAACAGGATCTTCATCTAGCAATCGAGATATTCATAGAAGCCATATTTGATGTTGTTCATAAGGCAGCACATTTTATTCTTTCCCCATCAGAGGCTTTTAAAACTCTATCTGGATGGTATTCATTGAGCAGTAGTGGTGCTCAAGATAGTCATGATAGTGATTCAGAAGTTTCTGTCCCCACAGCTACACTTGGAGAGAATGATCCAGCTCCTAAAGAAAGGAATACTTCATTTCAACAGTCGCTAAATACTGATGCTCGGACATGCCAGGATGTCATAACAGAGCTTGGGTAAGGCTATGCTACAGCTTACTTGATTGTAGAACCTTTTCTTTTTTCTTTGAGTGTTGCACTTGCTCTTAAAATCGCTGAACTTTCTGTCTGTCTTAGGTACCCATATGAAGCTATACATGTGATCACTAGTGATGGATATGTTCTTCTCTTGGAAAGACTCCCAAGGTATGATGGATGTATTTGTATTCTTTATCCCTGGTCAAGTGATAACTTTGTTTTAAGTCGATGGTGTCTAATGACTCTATTGTGATGCTGCAGGCGTGATTCACGGAAAGCTGTTTATTTACAACATGGAATTCTGGATTCATCTATGGGGTAAGCTATTTCTTCTTAAGATTCCTTCCTCCCCAGTGCCCTAGGTGGGGTATCAGTGTGATGCATAATTCTTCCCACCACCATGATTTTTACTACTACAACTATATTCGCCTCTTACAACATGATTTTAGTTCTTTTCTTTTTTGAAGAGGCAATGGGTAACCATTGATTCTTGTGTTATAATCACACATTTTACAAAAGTTTTGTTTGATATATACTACCTTTAAAAATGATTTCTAATTGGTTATTTCCTTTGTCCAGTTGGGTGTCTAATGGGGTGGTTGGTTCGCCGGCATTTGCAGCCTATGATCAAGGTTTGCATGTTTCATTTGCAAGTGTGTGTGGCTTGCATTAGAGACCACTGTAGTGGTTTAGAAATATGCTAATGCTTATTAGTTTTGCAGGATATGATGTTTTCCTCGGGAACTTCCGTGGCTTGGTTTCTAGGGAGCATGTTAACAAAAATATATCCTCACGACAGTAAGTTGACATATGAGATCTGATTGCTATTTTATTTATAAAATTTTTATCCTTGATTCCCTCTCGACTCAGATTGTTGGTGGGGATTGAATGAGGCTGCAATATTTACAGATTTTCTAACATAAAGCAGCAATTACATAAAGTATTGCAGTATGAATTGAGTTACTGAATGTAGCAACCAATGCAGGTATTGGCAGTACTCCATCAATGAGCATGCGACTCAGGATATACCTGCAATGATAGAGAAGATTCACCAAGTTAAAACTGCTGAATTGAAGCTCAGCCAACCTGATCTTGAGGAAGAAACCAATGATGAGCAACCTTACAAGCTTTGTGCCATTTGCCATAGCTTGGGAGGAGCAGCTATACTGATGTATGTTGTAACACAGAGGATAGAAGAGAGACCCCATAGACTCTCAAGATTGGTTTTACTGTCACCTGCTGGATTCCATGGTGATTCCAGCCTAATGTTTACGGTCGTGGAACATGTCTTTCTTCTATTGGCTCCTATTCTGGCACCCCTTGTGCCTGGCTTCTACATACCAACCAGATTCTTTCGAATGCTTCTGAACAAGTTGGCACGGGACTTCCATAACTACCCTGCCGTTGGAGGACTGGTTCAGACCCTAATGAGTTATTTTGTTGGTGGGGATAGCTCAAATTGGGTTGGCGTGTTAGGGATACCACATTATAACATGAATGATATGCCGGGGGTATCATTCCAAGTGGCCCTCCACCTTGCACAAATGAAGCGTGCAGGAAAATTTAGAATGTTCGATTATGGGAGTGCGTCTGCTAACATGGAAGTGTATGGGTCTACAGAGCCATTGGACTTGGGTGAGTACTATGGGCTTATTGACGTTCCAGTTGATCTGGTTGCTGGGCGGAAGGACAAGGTAATTCGGCCATCCATGGTCAGAAAGCATTATAAGTTGATGAATGATGCAGGTGTTGATGTATCATACAGTGAGTTCGAGTATGCCCATTTGGACTTTACATTTTCACATAGAGAAGAACTGTTAGCATATGTCATGTCACGCTTGCTGCTTGTGGAGCCGTCTCCAAACCAGCAATCAAGCCAGAAGGCTCTAAGGTTGAAAAAGAAAGGACAGGTCAATAGTTGATAAAGTCAGAAAACCCATGCATTTCCGTTTTTTTTTTCTTCGGGATTTGGCATGTCCTTAGGTGCAGATTACTGTGATTAAATATGTTCATACATCTTTAGTCCAGGGCAATTAGTGTTTGGTTTCTTCCCCATCAATTTTTTCGTGGGGAGTTAACTGTCTGAAAGGCTTATGCCTGGATTGAGCTTTGTACAAAAACCCCTATGTGTATATTCTGTAAGAGAGTAATTGGATCCATGAAACATGTTGTCTCTATCCAAGAGAACAATTAATACACACTGCTTTTTCAATGTTGATATTTTACTGTGACATTTTAAGTATATTGTGTCTGTTGGGTATGATTTCATTAGAAGCCCCTCCTGCTTCGCTGCTGGCAATGCAAATAACTTGAACCATTATCATTTTGAATCCATAAAACAAGCAGTTTCCACTGACTCCTCTAATTCTTTTCATGTGGCTTTGTGTTGCCAAAACCTGAGAGCTCCTATGGATTTGATCTCCTCCCAATTCTTGCTTCAGTTCCAGCCTGAGTGAGGGCAGCGTCAACCTCTGACCATTTGTTTGATAGAAGCACAAGGAAATGTGGGTTTTCGGTTTTAAATAATTTTAGTGTATTTTGTGAATTAACCGAAGCTCCAAATATATGTACGATAAAATTAACTCGTAGCCCAAATGAGAGTGACAAACTTTATGCAACCCAAATAAACGAATTCTGCAATGGCAAGACAAACCTTCAGCCAAGCCCACAACTATTGAAACCTTTACCCGGTTTACTGACCCACCCGTCCGACTTGACCCATGCACTTTTATTCTCTTAAATTCTTAATTATTAGTAAAAAGGCCAAAAGGCAGGGGCCAAGGCCAACGTCCTCCGTCAAAGCGCCGCTTGAAAGTCGAAACTTTACCGAGAAAATCAAGGAAAGAAAGCGAGAGAGAAAGAGAAGGAAAATGGCTGGGAGCTCTAATACTTGGGCCTATGCCCGGATCATCACCGGAACCATTCTCGGTGGCGTTCTCGGCTTCTACGTCATGGACCGCGTCGAGAAAAGCTACAAGGTCTTCTCACTTCCCCTCTCTGTTTATCATTCTTCTTATTAAGCTCACTCTCAGTCTGATTTTCGGAAATGAGAATTATAGCTTCCTGAGCTACTCAAACAATGGAATAATAGCAGAAATTTATCAATATAACTTTGTAATCTGAATGATTTTCATATGGAATCTTGGATTTTGATGAATACAGGAGAAAGTGAAGGAGAGACTGAGACAGTACGAAAGTGAATTGAAGAAGAAAGAGAAATTGAATGAGTTTGAAGAGTCTATGTAGACCGTACCGTACCAGTGTTCTTTTCTCTTTTTTCTTCTGCTTGTGGTTGTTGAACAAAAAAAAATTGAAATTTTGAATCATATGTTTTTGTATTTGGAGGAGCTCTCTAAAACTTAGCCAGTACTGGAGATTGATTCGAATGAGAGTGTCTATATTCGAGGAAAAAGAGCCCAACTTTCACGACTCATCAAGAATATTTGCATGTGAAATTTTGTGTTTGTATTGCAATATCTTATGCATCAGAATATAGTCTTGGTTATAAATTGTTGGTATAGAAATGAAACATACTGATATATGTACGGTATGTATGTATGTATGTATGTGTGTGTAATAGAATGGAGAATCAATTCACGCAACAGGAGCAAACGGTCAGCCCCCTCTCAGTACACTACTAAGAAATTTTGTGTTCTAAAAAAGTAACCGAAAAAAGAAGAAAAGAATATAGAGAAGAATAACAGGTATTTTACAACCAAGCCTTCGGCACTCAAAGTTCGGGTGTCCTAGCAGAGCAAAATTGAAAATTGGAACCAACAATCTGAACCAGAGCTTCATTCCCATACAAGACACATGACTTTCTTGTGTATTTGAAAGCAAATCACTGCAAGAAAAAGTCAGGCGTCCAAGACACTATCTTATCAAGCATCAAGAATTGGGAAGCACTGTAAGGGTAAGTGTCGCATGGCTGGCCGGACACTATTTGATCAAGCATCAAGAATGGGGAATCGGTGGTCCGGCCACTTGGGATACGAACGCTTGTACAAGCTCATGCATACTGTGTCATGCTGCTGGAGGACCCCATTAAAGATGCATTTCAATGCCCCTGAGACAAAATTGTATATGGAACAAAAGAAACCCTTAATAACTACTTAATATATATAATGCACAACCGGAATATGGAAATGAAAGGTCTGAAATGGCATCTTTCGATTAATAGTTTTCTACTATTGGGGATAATCTTACCGTGTGTACCAAGAGGCTCCTTGATGCGACCCCGACGACCACATTTGGTCCACACTTCCACAGGCTGCCATCACCACGCACGTTAAGAAACATATTCACAATGATTGTAATATTTTACTTCGATTAGATACAGCACAAATTAAAAAGATATGGTATGAGATTCTCACCTTGAACCATTTCACGTCCTCTGGATTATGGAACATATACCTTACAGAAGCTTTTAGTTTTGATACTCGTTGAGGGTAACTGCATCAAATATGCTTTCAAGTTCAATCAATCCCAACTTTCAGAGGAAAAAATCTGTGCCATAAAGGTCACCACCACCAAAAATTTAATAATAAACTGTACCCAGTTAAAGTAATCTTCTTTAGTATAATTCTGTCAGGGTCGATGCTTTTCAGTGTACCAACAGCAGCAACTGCAGGTGCAGTGCCTGCTCCTTCAGAACTCCTCAAAGCTATCAAAGGAAGAGGAGGAAAGGAGATCGGAGCATAAATTGAAGCCATGGAAAAACGTCCTGCATGAAGAAACCTCTCCATTTTGTGCTTATCTGAATTCATGTTGTCGGTAGAATATATTGGCCTGCAAAGTGAGGAGCAAAAGCGTCAATCACTAAAACTCAATCAGAAGAACAGTTGATGGCATTAGAGAAACTACCTGGCAATAAATTGGCGAAATCCAACATGAAATATTAATTCGTCTTTGGCTTTGATAGGAGCACTGTACGAGTCATGCTTCTTTACGCTGCAAACATAGATCACCCAGGGTCATGAAAATACCTTCCTTTACGAAGACCACAAAACTGCAAATTTTTCCCAACTACAAGATACCTGAAATGTAGCACAGACATCTTGGACTCATGCTGCAAAAGACCGCATGCTGTAACAGGCATTGTCTTCGCCTGATTACATAATTTAGAAGCTACACTAGTTGGCACGTCTTTGATATACAGCCTTGCATATGAGCTAGCAGTGGCGCAGTCATCCCTGTTTTGTTGCTCCATATCTAAAGCTTTAGCAAGGACGTTTTTCTGTGTTCTATTGAAATTATCGAATGCAAAGATTCTGGCATACTCTAGAGGCAAAGACTCCTGAAGTTCATCAGACACGAAAGTCAGTTGGACAGTTGATGTTCAGAATAGATTGAACTGCTATTACAGAATTACAGGAATATTACTTTGGGATCCCATGTAGAGGTCCTAAAGGACTTGAGGCCTCTATACTTTGCAAAACGTTTTCTTGCTGGAATGTCTAATGGTGTATCCACTTCATCTGGAAATTCTGAAAAACATAACAAACAACCATTAAAAGCGAACTAAATAACCCAGCAGTAATATAGTTGACTTCAAGGTGCTACAAATATAGTTTTGACAATATAAATCATATAGCAACAGAATGAACATAACAAAACTTCAAGTTATTTCAAGCAGTATTTAGCTTCCATGTGTAGAAAAGATTTTCCTTAAGAGCAAAGCTTTATGAATGAGTTTAAATACAATTGACTTCAAAAATCAACAGTATATAGCTTTTTTAAAAGATAAGTACCCTCATCATCAGCATGTGCTTGCTTTATTTTTTGAATTTCATTCACCAACTGTTCCTTGGTCAAGTTTTCACCTTCCTGTAAAACAGAAACAAAATGAGTAAGTCCTACAATGTACAGAATTGGAACAAAAGAAAAATAAATTTCTTCTTAATGACGGCACATTAATATTACCATTATGACCTATTCTTAAGTACAACGTTAATTGAATCCTTAGAGACAAATACACAATGTATTCCATTTTTTCTTTCTATTTTAGGAAGATTTCCTTGAATCTTAAAGCAAATTATGAGCATTGAGGGTTGGAAGATCCAGGTATAACCTAGTTGGCATTCTTGAGAATCAAAGGACCTTTGTTGCATTACATATTAATGAAAATGCTGCAAATAGGTTGAGAAAGCACCAATGACTGACCAAATCATCAGTGAACCCCTGCTATTCAGCATTCTAGTACAAGACAGTAAGGTGAGTGGTTCACACACGTTTGGTAAAACGTATTGTCTAAAGTGGTATGTCAATAGCTTAACTTGGAGAAACACTAGGGATTCTCACCATCTAGAATGTGGTTGGTATTCTTAAGTCTTACCTTTTTTTCACATTTGCAAATGACAGTAGCATAATACTGGGGTTCCATTTGTTAATTGTTGTGTCTTCATGTTAGATCAAAATCAGAGAAACCGACTAATGCTGGTAAGTTGGTAACGCACTAAAATCACCTTGATTCATAAATAATATACATGCTAAACTCACCATCATTACTGAATCAACATCAGTTTCTCCATCAGAGTCCCCAAAGCTTAAAGAAGCTTGGTCATCACTGAGATCCGAATAATTAGTGCCCTCTTGACCAGGATAACCAATGTCCCCCTCATCCAATACCATACCATCAGCTTCCTCATCCTCATCAGTACTTGATCCCTCTTCATCTGTACCATCCACAATCCAAGCAGCCTGCAAGAACAGAAATCATGCCTCTGACATATCACTAAAAAAATCTGTCCTTTACCTCTTAACATGAACAAACAAAAATGTCAAAGAATAAAAGAAATATAGAAACATTCAGAATTACGAAACTGTTTCGCTTTAAGTTGTGTTTTTTTTTTTCCTGGGCTCTGGGCCCCACTACACCAAAAAAAGAGAAGAAACTGACAGGAACTGCAGACCTGGTATTCTGAAGTGCCTCGAGGAAGTGCCCTCTTTTTCTTCTTTTTTTGTTTCTGACCTTTTTCAGCCTCCGCCATTTCTGCCTCTGTTGGCCATGTCTGACAAAAAGGATCCATGTTATAAATGGCAGTTCAGTAATTCAACAAAACTCACAGTAAAATTAAGAAAATCCAAATGTAAATCATATTAACCGGTTGAGATAGGAGGAGTATTCCAATTGACATTCTTCTTTTGTAACTCAGGTATCATCCGCTCAAATACCACCCATCTTTGTTTTATTCATTTTTGGATAAGCAATATACAACCCATATTCTTAATGAAATTGAGTAAGATAATAATTAATAGAATGAAGATGTAATGTTGTTACCTGTTCACCTGCCAGGGGATCGGGAACATTCTCAACTAGTAAAGGCTCCTGCCTCATAGGATCGGGAACCAAAGAACGGAGGACCTTGAAATAGGTAAAATTTCAAATGAGAAACATACGTCATATGATAAACTTATCATCATGAACATGCTTCACAAATGAATAAAAAGCATCCCAATCTTATCACTACAAGGAAATAACTTATTCTATAGACATCTTCTGCTTAAATGAAACAGCCAATACCTCTACATCACACACTTCATCTGAATCCATGAAATCCTGCTCTTTTCTTGCATTCAAAGGAAATGGATCCTTGAGAATTTCCATTTTGGACAACTGGAAATCTCCCACACCAGAAACATGAACCTGATATAAAAGAAAATAAGACAACTGCCAAATCATGTGACCAAGGGAAAGTCTTTGGCTGAACTAATTACCAGTTGATTCACAGAAAGATTGCGAGCACGCAGATATCCAGTAAGGAGAAGGGTACAATTTCCTGAATTGAAATCATCTGCTACTATATCAACCTATAAACACAAAATGAGTGATTACAAAATCTTTCTTATTTATCAAATTCAACTTTTCTTCTTTACAAGAATAGTAGTTGTTCTACAAGGCTCACATGCCTTGCCATATAAGAAAAACTTCTACTATATATTTCTCTATTTTTTCCACCTTTTACCTAACATAGAATGAAATAAAAAGTTAAATAAATAGAAAATGAGCACCTTCTGAGAAATCAGGTAAGGCCGTTGACTTCGCCAGTGAGGAACTGAAAGCCTTTGCTCCTTAAAGAGCCACATGAACTGCAATTATAGTAAGATGATGCGAAAGCTATGAGAAGCATCAAATTATGTAAATATGAAACGAAACAAAATGTCATGTGAATTATAACCCCCTCTGGACTTCTAACATTGAAGGCTAAGTTAAAGAATCTGTAGTCGACGCATACCTTGTGCAACTCATCCTTTGTGTCAGCTGGATAAAATTTACAATCCTCAGGAAATTCAGAAGCAAGACTAGAAGTACACGTTTTCTTTGAATCATGTCTTCTTTTCATGTCAGTAGGTAGATCCTACATGCACCAAAAAAGGAGAATAAATACTATATCAAATTGGGCAAAATCTAATTATCCTAGTTCGATAATATTTCCATGAATATACAAAGCACATCAACAATAACATACACGAATTAGCACAGCAGTGCTCGGTAAACCAAGAGACCTAAAAACAGAAAGACAGTGACTTCCAAATGAGTCAATGTAGTCAGATGTGCTTCCATCACATGAAGAGCTCGCTGAAGCCACAAAAGCGATGAGATCAGCAACCTACAGAAAAGAGTTTCTATGTTAGAAAAACCAAGAAAATTAGGATGAATACACAAGCTGCAGAATTTCTTACCTTGGCCATTTCCAAGCATGATAGCAGATCCCCATGAGGTGCTTTCAATACCTAAAGAATTACTCGAGTTAGATACTTAGAAACCTTCACATCAGTCATCAATGTTAACAACTTTGTGAACCCATAACATTTATATGACAATCATTCAATTAAAATACAGCAGCAGAGGCGGGGTACCGTTGTTCTCAGTTTGTACTCAATAGAAGCAACTGTTGGCAAGGTGGCTTCATAACCTTGTGGAGATAACAAAGAAAGAAGGTCCTCGGCAAGTGAATTTAGGTTTACACCAGCAGAAAGCCCGAACAAAACCTACAATTAGTGGACGTTAGAATGATTATAGAGCTGACAAAAACGTTCTTATATTTTAATATCAGCGCATTAATCCCTCAAAGCCTTTTTCTCTATCAGTTCCAACTGAAAACAAAATGCTCACAATCACACGGGGAGCACTTGCTGATCCACTTGAAGCCCTCTTCTCTTTCAAAAGAGCTGCCCGCTTCTGTTCTCGTAACTACAGAATAGTGAAGTTGAGCGTTAGGTAGCCAAAATGAATATTGGCATGAGAAAGAGGGAGATTTTAAATCAGTTACCATCTTGTTACGTTGAACTCGAGCTGCCCGAGCTCCCTTGGCAACATTGTGCTCCGATTTGCCAATCCTACTCTTATCTGAAGCACCAAAAACACTCAATTTATACACACCAATTGCATTGCATAGCCGTTATGTCTAATTTTCCAGCAAACAAAAGAAGGTGGAGGGAGTAGCATACAGAACCTGAAGTTTTGTGGAGATTACGCGAAGATTTGGAGGCAAAGCGCGTCTTGTGGGGCTTGTTTACTTGAGCTCGCGAGCCTCCCATGGCGGCTCTTGCAGAGAAACACTATACAGTCGGCGAAGGCAACATAGAGAAATTAGCAGCAAAGCTGAGTAGCAAGAGAGAGAGAAAGAGAGGAATCCATGGGTTGCAAAAGCTTACCTATTTCCCTGCAGCAGCCGATCACTCACCGCCGTGCTGCCAAAAGAGAGAGAATTGTAGAAGAAGCAGAGAGGGAGAGAAGGAGAGAGGCGGTACCAGTGTTATGAACTTTTGGACCCAAGTTCTCTCAATAGGGTTGGGCAGGGTTTACTCAAAACGCCGCGTTTTAACTTAAAAGGAGTAAAGGACTGTATATATAAAAACGCGGGAGACTTGGAAAGAGGACCGTTTTTTTTTACCGTTAGGCAAGCACAAATACACACTCGCAGAGTCGAGGGAGATACGAAAATGGAGGATTCGGGGGCGATCCTCTGCCACATCTCAACCTTGAAGGAGATGCTTGACCAGGTAAACTGCACCTCATCCTCATCCTCCATCTCCTATCTCAGTCGAAGCTTCCATCTCCGTCAAAGTTTCAATTTTCAACCAAATTATGTCCGATCGCTCATAAACTGCTTGTGAAATTAGGTGAACGAAGAAATCGAGGCGAATATTCAGATCACACGAGAGATCGAATCGGAGATCGTCAAGTGCTCTGAAATCGAAAACGCTTTGGCCGCCAAAGAATCGGACCTCACCAAGACGCTCTACGTCTCGCACTTTGAGCTCACTGGATTGCACGCTGTCACCAGTAAATTCTCTAATTACCTCTAATCCTTCCCATTTTTTCTTATTATACACATTAATTGGAGCATTAATAGTTTATCAGTCACTTAATTCGACTTTTTTATTAATGTATTTATTAACAGAAGATTTAAGGAACTCGGTAGAGATTATGGAGAAGGAATTGTGTCGTCTGAGAATGAAGCGCGATGAGACTCTTAATAGAATCCACGACCAGCGGTATTTTCCTTTTTTAATAGATTATGAACGTTTTTAGTCTCAATTCTGATATGAATGTTTATGGATTTCACAAAAATTGTAACTTTTTCTTTTCTTTGTACGTGAAAATTCTTGCCAAAGTAAGAATTTGAACTTAAGAACGTAACTGATATCTGCATTAGGTATTGATAGGTAACTGAATGAGCTGTTTTTTTTATACAGGGAAAGGTTTATTGCAATGAGCTTAGAATTCCAGAAGGACATTGACAAGGCGAATGATAATGAACTACGCATTCTTCTGTCAGAAAAAGAGTTCCTTGAAAATGAAATTCATATCTTGGAAGAGAAGAACAATGCTTTAAAGAATTCAATGCTGGCATTTGTTGAAGGAATTCTTGAAGATCTTATTAGTAGCAACTCTGGTGCAAACTTCTTCCTTACTTTTGCACATTTAATTTAATATTTAATGGTTTAAGAGTGTTAAATCACCCTAGTGTGTGAAGTGTGAGCAAGTCTCCAGTCAATATGTTGTATCAAATGCATATATTACTCTTGTAGTTTTCTTTGTTGAAGTGACTTATTTACTACAAATTGTTGGTATGCAGCTTTACAAGTTGAGATACAGAGTGGGAGTGAGGAGAACGATAAACTGCTGAAGGATATTCATAATATGAAATCTTCATTGCTTTCAACTATTGCAATTGAGGATATCAGAGGTAAGTTTTTATTGTGATATAAATGATTGAGATAATTGACGATATCTTTTTAGATTTTGAAATGGATTTATTCATTTTTGAGTAAAAAGGTCAGAACTAAGTGATTTTTTTTCTTCTACATGGATCATGTCAATGGGAGACATGTAAAAGTGATATGTACACACCAGTGGTAGTAGCAACAACAATAGGGTTTTTGTTGTATTTATGCACTGTAAAATGGTAGCAGTCCAGCTGGTGAAGTGGGAGTGATGGCACCATAGCTTGTGTGTTCCATGCACTTGAATACTTATTTCTCTTGAAAGGTCTTTTAAAAAATTCAACAGAAGTGGAAAATTAGTTAAGGAGATGTATTGATTTCTAGAGAACACTTTAATGAATGGCACGCATGTACCCATAGCAAATTTAAAAAGGAATGATACAATACAATAAAGGCATGCAGAGCTAGTAAAGCTCCTCTATATAAGCATGGATACGGCTTTCTTGAAACCTTTTGTTGTGTGATCTTGGAAGTTGAAGTTTGCAAAATAACCAGTGGTGTTTTTCTTGTTTCTTTTCTTCGAATTGGAAACCGGCATGTTATATCTTGTCTGATTAGTAAGGATGAAGATTAAGATCACATGTGATGTTATGATCTCTGTTCTGTATATGTACAATATAATAAATGTATAAGCATATAACTGTTGCTAAACGTTATATATGATACCAAACATTATCTTCAATCATTTTAGTGGCTGTGAACTTGGCATTTGTAGTTTTGTAACCCCACACATCAATGTATTTATATCTGCTGCACAGTTTCTGAACAATATGTGTCATACCAGGGGCACGATCGTGGACTGTACCGTAAGTTGAAGGTGTCCCTCTGTTTCTACCCAAAGAAAAGGTGTCACTCTGTCCTCCAATTAATTGCTAGGCCTAACTTGTACTGCTGAAATCTTTCCTTCATAAATAGTTTCTAGCATCAGGCTTTTGCAGTAATGCATGCTGCATGCAGCATTTGTTGTTTGAATACATTTGGCTTTGATTCTTGTCAAGTGGAAGAAAGATGGTCAAAAATTTTGACTTGCTGCAATTTATTTTGGGTTTGTACGTCAAAATTTTCTCTTCTTGGGGAGGTCAGTCAGGGACAGATTTTCAATCAGATTTGTTCTCATCTCTCTTCCAATTCATATATACTTAAAAGTTAGAGCTCCCCTTCTCATTTGGGTCGGTTCTGACCTCTGGGTAGGGTCCAGCTCCGGCCCTTCCGTACTTATCCAGGTAAAACTTGTCCTTGTTCTGTCACTTTCAACTTTAGGTAGTGGTCCAGCTTCAGGAATTTGCTTAAACCTTGTGTGCTTATGCGCCATTTAGCTGTCAAAACTCCAAATGGGATTCTCTCTTTTCTTTTCACCTTATCTATTAGTTCTTCCCGTTTCTGATTGTTAAGCTAGCACAGACAAGGCATAGTGACTACAATAATGTTCTGTCTTCTTTCACTGTGTGTCCATTTGATTTAATGTATAACTGTAGATGACATATTCGTGCACACAGCTTGATTAGATTTGGAAAGTACTGGGAAGCTCCCATGTTTAAAAGGAGACGAAACTAGAGTCGTGGAGGTGATAGTTCAACCTAATAAATAGAATGTGGCTCAAAGCCTTTGAATAAAACTAGTTTGTCTTCCATGTCACGGACAGTGACCATGTCTCTCTGGTGAATTTCACGTGCACCATGGCCCCCGGCCGTACCATACAGCTAGCTACCTCTTTTGTATTTGGATAGTAATTGTTGATTCAAGTGTTCTCTATTGTCAATTATCATGACCACACCACAGCACGCCTTAAAAAAATTCCACCGGTCCTCTGATGATTAGAAAGCCGAAAAGAACAAAGAAGCTGAATCCTTTTGTCAATTGGCCATGTAGGGTTTGGTTCATTATCCCAAGTTTTAGTTTTCGGTGTCAAATTAAGGGCTCAAGTTGTCAATTAAGAACTAATAATTGACGTTATGGTACTTATTTAAAACGAAGTTTATTTGGTCCTGTTATCACCATGTAGCTTCGTCTTGATGATGCTTCATGTTTGGTTTCTTTTGGGACCACACATTATCTTCTCCCTATAAGAAACACCCTCTTCCTTCTCTTTTTCTCATGAAGTTTAATCATCTCTACAACTACAAGGTGAACCTAACACGTGTGTATATATATATATATATATATATTTCTAACAATGATTCATACAGAAGAGTGAAGAAAGAGCCATAGGATTCCACTAGCTAGCGTTGTGGAAAATAGAGATGAAGATGAAGAGTAGTGATGATACTGTTGAAGCCTCCAAGAGAAGGTTTTCATGCAAGGGGTCGTGCGGGTTTCTCAAAGAAGGAAGAGGAAGGCTCTACATATTCAGAAGATGTATTGTTATGCTTCTTTGCTGGCATGATTAGTATGCAATGCATGGTGTTTGGAGCTACGATCACCTCCAAACTCTTTCCTTTTTCATTTTTAAATGTTAATATGGACTATGTATAGTAATGAAATGTCTGTATTGACTTTCATTTTGTCTCTCCTAAATATACAATTTTGGTGAAGTCTTGGTCTTTCTTCTTCTTTCTTTTTCTTTTTTTCTCTTTTCTCTTGGCCCTGAGCCATGGTCGGTGTGGGACTGTTGTTGAGTAATATGGTTTCCTGAAACACATGATGAACATGAGCCTTGCCTTGCATGTATTGTCTGGATATATATATATCTCGTGTATGTGACCTTGTTTTGGTCCAAAAAGGAGCCAAAAAAGATGGCCAATCAGTGAGGTTCACATTTTGATCCCTGTGTGGGCCTGTTCACATCTTGGCTAAAACCACAGCTTTGTCTACAAATTGCCAGTTACTAATGAAATTATTCTTGTTGATAAAAATATATATATATATATATATTTTTTTTAACTGCTACATTTGATTTCACGCTTTACTATACTATTGTTCTTTCTGCAGAAGAATGATAAAAGGCTATCAGATGTGCAATATCTGAAGTGTATCTTGTACACCCATTTACAAACTAATGCGTAACCATTTGATTTAGGGTTACAATTTCCGTATCTGAGAGAGTTGGAATCGACTAAAAAAAAAATTGGAAGACAAAATTGAAACTCGAATATAAGTTCATGGACAATAAAACCCCAATAATTTATTATATGCAGTTTTCCTTCAGATCATTATAACCTTCCATCCAGTCCCTTGGTTGCTCCTCTTATATTTTCCCTCTGCTTTTCTTGTTTGTACAGGGGATTGTTGTACTTCCTCTTCTCTTGTTTTTTGTTTTTTTTGTTTCACCTTACTTGAGAATATGAGAGAGAGCGAGATGAAAGTAACATGGTAATTAATTGTAACTCATAGTTATTCTTATAGGTGCGTACATGTAAAGTATTAAAAATATATGGGGCAGAATGAAAAATACAAAAGAACGCTAGATAAATAATAATAAAAAATAAAAAGCTTTATGGGTATCATTGCAAAAAAATAAAACAGTCAATATGATAGTTCATAGGTCGCAGCCTTCTGAGCTTCTGCTTTCCCTTTGAAATTTGCAGTGGTTTTGCATCTACAGCAGATTCCGGCACGTGTGTCCTATCCCAGGTAAGATTATCAATCCCTCTCCTTCACCTTCTTCCTTCTTCCTTCTTCCATGAGTAATTTCAAAAACCTGTATATATGTCATGTATATATCGTTCCGTACAATCTAGGGTTTGCTCATTCTGTCTCTAGTTTCGGTTTACCCACACCCACACACAAAAATTACTGTTTGGTATAGAAAGTTCAAAACATAGACTATCTGGGCTACTAACTGCACCTTAAGCTCATTAGTTCACTAAAACAAACTTAGAGAAATTTTTGAAAAATTAACATTCGAACAGTAAAATTATGTAAGATATTAAAATGAATTAAGTTAAATGAAAAAAAAAGAAAAGATATTGGTCTCTTTTTCTCTCATTTTTTATGTATATATTTTATTTAAGGCTTCACACTACTAACGAAGCTAGTGAAGCTGGTAATTTGTTTTCAGGCTTCATTAGTTTCTTCTCTTTAGACTATTTTTTTTTGGGTAACATGTTGACCATATATTTCAAAACAACTTTTTGACGGTTGAGATTTTTGAAGGAATGATTCTTGCTGAAAACCCCCATGTAAGCTCTGAACACAGCTTAGCATCAGAAACACTTCAAATGAGTCGTTTAACAAATGGGGAGGCCGAGATAAGTCTTCACAAACCGAACAATCAAGTTCAATGTCAAGGCTCTAATGGGAGATGTGGAAACTTGGGGTTTGATGGAATGAATGGTAGACCTTGCCGTGATGAAAATTGTGGGAAAGAAGATATAGGAGTATCCAGCAGAGATGCATCAACTGATGTTTTAAGTGTAAGTGGCGCATTTACTCACATTCAAAAATACTGTTTCTTGGAACAAACTTCATGCTTTATCTACCCTAAAATGATTGCCTTTACATATGGAACTTTATTGTTCTGCAGAAAAAGGCAACACAGCAAAAGGAAATGACATTAGAAGATATGTACAACCAAGACCTCAATGACGACGATGATGATAGTGATTGGGAGCCCTTCCCACAACATGTAGAAATTGTGAAGTGGTTCTGCACTAACTGTACAATGGTCAACCTTGATGATGTTGTCCATTGTGATGTATGTTCCCCCTCTCCCTCCTCAAGATTCTGACATACAATTCTTCCTTTCATATCATCAGTTTGTATTTTGTAAGGGGACCTGGTTGTGGAAGGATAATTTGGTGCTATTATTTCCGTGCAGATATGCGGGGAACATAGAGAATCTGGTATCTTGAGGCATGGTTTTTTTGCATCATCCTTGTTACAAGATTCAGGCCTTACTGAGATTGGGGCCGACACTAGGGAAAGACACAAAGGTGGGTACATGATTCAGACCTTACTGAGATTGAGTCCAACACTAGGGAAAGAAACCAATATTGAGTTTTGGTAGACTGCCAAACTTGTATCACAGTGGAGTTTATAGTTTTTTTTTCCCTGGTAAGTGCAGGCTCTCAAGATTCAGCATCAAATAGTTCCACTGCTGTAGGTTTTGATGAGAGAATGTTGCTACATTCAGAAGTACGGTCTTGTTGTAATACATGTCTTCCTCATATTCTGTTAGTTTTCTCATTTATTGTTCTTTTTATTTGTAATTCAGTGTTTTGTATTTAGATGCAAATGTTCTTTTTCCATGACACATCACTTAAGCCAAGATCCACAAAGCAGTTTTACTAGAAGTTTCATGTCAATCCTATCTGCATACCCAAGCAGCAGTAGTTTTAATATGCTTTAAGTGTTTTTTTAGTAGTTATTGTTGCATATTATATTCACTATATTTTGTGACATTAATGTTGTAAGTTGGAAACTGCTCATTTCTGTTTCTGTAATACTTATAATATTTTTTCTTTTCTGGTGGTTGTTATGCTAGAGCAGGTTCAAATGAAGTCACATCCACACCCAGAAAGACCAGATCGTATTCGAGCGATTGCTGCTAGCCTTGCTACAGCTGGTATTAACCTTCGTTGAAGTTCTTTGTGCATGCCAATTGGTACTATTAAAGGATTGTAACTGTGGCTTGCTGTGTGGTAATTTGTCTAGTAGTGGTTCTTGGTGTTATTTTATTTTAGATTGATAAGCAAATGGAAAATTTCAACCTATGCAGGTATATTTCCAGGAAGATGCTATCCAATTTCTGCTAGAGAGATTACTCGTGAAGAACTTCAGATGGTAAGTATCACCCATCATCTTGGACTTGGAGGGCAAGGGCACACGTCTGACCTAGTATTTTATGAAGGCACACAACTAAGGAAATTGCTGTTGGTTGAGTCCTGATTTTGGAAGGTTTGGGGGTTTGTAGTTCACTTCATGACAAACCTTTCTCTGTGCTGTCATGACGATGAAGAACAGACTTCGTGTTGCTAGTTTGTCCTTTAAAGGGAAACAAATTACAGTTACAATTTATAATGTCTTCCTTGGCCTATGATTTGTAATTCTTGGCTTTACATTTTGAAATTAAAGGTTCATTCTTTGGAGCATATTGAAGCAGTTGACCATACAAGCCATATGTTTTCTAGGTATGTTCTTTTGCGGCATTGCTCTCTTTCTCTCTCTCTCTCTCTCTCATGCTAATAGCAGGCAGCAAAGTTGTCAGGATTTAAGTGGCAATCCTTGGACTAATTTTACATATTTGTATATTATAATACGATTACATGAGTTGCTTTCCCAATAAGAGAAAAAATTTGAAACACTCAAAATCAAAGCATCAGTGACAAGTTGTTCCAGAAACAGGAAAAAAAAACTTGCAAGAACGTTTTGACTTAAGCCCACATCTGCTCTCCTTCTGCCTGAGTTTATGGAATTGATATTACTGTAAGAAACGAAACACATGGGAGAAATGTAGCTAATAAAATAGACTAAATTGTATTTATCCAAGCATATGCCTCATAAAAGAAGCATTATGAATATGATATGAGCAAACATTGAAGTGAGGGTATCCCAAAATTGGATATATTTTGTTCAGACCTGTGCACAAAACATTTCTAATGCATTTATCGAAGACCTGATGTATTTATCCACCCTACCCTGTTCTTCAGTTAACAACATCAGATTCATTTATTTTGGTATGTAATGGTATGGTTGATGGATGTTGTCTTTTTATTGATAAATTATGTATGATTGGCAGTTATTTCACTCCTGACACATATGCCAATGAACATTCAGCACATGCTGCTAGGCTTGCGGCAGGTTTGTGTGCTGATCTCGCTAAAGAAATTGTTTCTGGACGTGCCAAAAATGGTTTTGCCCTGGTATGAAAAATAAATACTCTTATTTAGTGTGTTTCAGAGTTATGGATGTAACAATAACTCTTTGAAAATCTCATTCTTCTTAATGTTAAGCACCATTACTGAATGACTCAGGTCCGGCCTCCCGGTCATCATGCTGGTGTGAGACAGGCTATGGGGTTTTGCCTCCACAATAATGCAGCAGTTGCTGCATTAGCAGCTCAAGCTTCCGGGGCTAAGAAAGTGCTAATTGTTGATTGGGTAAGGTCAATACTCTTATGTAATCATCTCATTACAATGTTTCTTTAGCTGCTCGTATCTGGATAAATATTCAAACCTGAAAAAGTATCCAATAAAAACTGCAGGATGTTCATCATGGGAATGGCACACAAGAAATATTTGACCAGAACAAATCGGTGAGCAACATAGTAGTTAAAACTTTGTCTTCCTATGTGCATTAACTTTTTAACGCCCTACTCATTTCCAGTTATA